GGGGGGCGCCATTTTGCCAAAATCATTCTGTGGAAATCTTCTTTAATAAAACGTTATAAATAATCAAAAGCTTAGTTATTAAAAATAATTAATGCAACATTTTTATTTAACGGTTTTTAGCATTTTAATGCATTCAACAATGTATTTATTAAAAATTTAAGACGTGGAATGGCCGTATCTCTTTGCGACCACAACAAATGGGAGACTTTTCAGAGTCAAACGATCGCGGAAAAGGTACATGTGCCAAATGAGCTTCAGTAGAACAACAGGGAACTGCGGTCTAATGAGATATTGTTATATGTCAGCAAAAAACTTTCCTGTCCAGTCAGCCGTTTTACTGTGCTCACGGCGCACGTTCTTCAACTGTACGAGAAAATGAGGCACACGCTCACTTCATAAATAAACCGCACTAGAAACTGCGAACATACATCGTCAGTTAAGTTTCAAATTCAGTTAAAATTACCAAAATGGCAATTAAAACGGCAAAACTGTGCCTGCATGTATGTGCATTACATTTAAGAACATCTCTCACATGCATGCAGCCTACTGAAATATTCTGCAATTCGAGATCACAATAGGGTGCAAGATGATAGGCTATGTAAATTTTTTTTATCTATCTATCTATCTATCTATCTATCTATCTATCTATCTATCTATCTATCTATCTATCTATCACACATAGATAGCTGGGAAAGATATCCATTTGTGTATTTTTTTATGTCAAGTATCATTATTATGGTATTAAAAAAAGGGGAAGAGGGTTCAAACCTTTGTAACATTTTTCCTTGTATCCTTCCATGCACAGGCTAGTAATGGGCTTGGTCATTCATTTGCAGAAAGTTTTCTGCGCAAGTTAGTGTTAGAGGTTACTAGAATACAGAGGGGCGCCGACACTGATCTTACATAGCCCTCGGCAAATGTGCAGTTTCGCCCCTGACTCCATTATAATATAATGAAAGGGATTTTTTTGCAACCTGAATATAACCTTCTTTCTACCACCCATGCTGAGCAGCTTCTGCTTAAATCACAACACCATTTTTATGAGTTTTGGTGTTAAAGGAGTAGTTCACTTCCACAAAACACAAAAGAAGATATTTTGAAAAATGTTAGTATTGGAACAGTTGATGAATTCCATAGTAGGAAATTTTTTTTCTGTGGAAGTCAATGGTGCCCATCAACTCTTCTGATACTAACATTTTTCAAAATATCTTCTTTTGTGTTCAACAGAAGAAAGAAACTCATTCAGGTTTGGAACAAGTGGAAGGTGAGTAAATGATGAGAGAATTTTCATTCTGAAAGTAAACTACTCTTTCTGGCACTACAACTTAGACTTACAATTGCAAAAACTTATATCACCCAAATCCAAACCCAAGGCGGCAATATTATATCAAAACCCCAAGAAATGAAGGAATTTAAATCTTTTTACCTCTCATTGTATCAGTCAGACTCGGTCACGTTTTTTTCTTGATGACCTCGAAAAGAACTAAAAATACTCTGTCATTTCTGATCGTACATATAAGAGTAAGGCGTCATTTGAAACTGCAAATGGTCTACTTTTATTTGTGTATAGTCATAATAACAACAAAACAATGTGCTTTTGTAAAATAAAGAAAATAAACAGGTTGTGCTTTCAGCCGTCTCAGTCTCCGCAAATATCTTTCTGAAACGCGTCACTAAAATGAACCAGAACTCAGCGAATACTTCACACACCGACATGAGAAATATATCTATAGAAAGCTTGAAGTGTCTACTTTTAAATGAAGTAAGTCATGTCGAAAACAAATATTCTCTGATAAAGTAATTCGTATGAAACCAGCGCAAGGTCCAGTCTTTCACGTCTGAGCTCATTATCTGTAATGAGATCACGCCCAAGCGCTATTCATACGGTAATCATCCACGTGAGACACGAACATGTAAAATCCCACATCACCTCCGTAAACAAAGCGTGAAGATTCATCAAGTTCATCTCGGAAACTTTTCGTTTCTGGAAGAGACGCGCTGTGAGGAATAAGCCAGAATTTACCTCAGAAGAAGAAAGCGATGCGACGCGCGGCTTGAGCAGCGGAAGAGATCATTTCTGACGAGTAAGTCATGTTTTATTACTTGCATTTGTTACTGTGTTATTGTGACGTAACTTGTTCACATTTTACTAGTTAGACTTTTATAAAACTATAATTCCTGACTAAATGTATGAAATCAAGTGAAACATTTTGAAATATGTCATTTCATTCAGTGTTCGAATTGTGTCAAACCTCTTGTGGGGTCCCCCTAACCAGACCCCCCCCCCCTTTCAGTATGAAACCAGCGCAAGGTCCAGTCTTTCACGTCTGAGCTCATTATCTGTAATGAGATCACGCCCAAGCGCTATTCATACGGTAATCATCCACGTGAGACACGAACATGTAAAATCCCACATCACCTCCGTAAACAAAGCGTGAAGATTCATCAAGTTCATCTCGGAAACTTTTCGTTTCTGGAAGAGACGCGCTGTGAGGAATAAGCCAGAATTTACCTCAGAAGAAGAAAGCGATGCGACGCGCGGCTTGAGCAGCGGAAGAGATCATTTCTGACGAGTAAGTCATGTTTTATTACTTGCATTTGTTACTGTGTTATTGTGACGTAACTTGTTCACATTTTACTAGTTAGACTTTTATAAAACTATAATTCCTGACTAAATGTATGAAATCAAGTGAAACATTTTGAAATATGTCATTTCATTCAGTGTTCGAATTGTGTCAAACCTCTTGTGGGGTCCCCCTAACCAGACCCCCCCCCCCCTCAAAAATAAATCAATCAATGATAAGAAAAAAACACTATATATTTCTCAACAAAAATCAATGTAATAGCAAACTTAGCACGTTTCTAATCTCTCGTCATATTTTTATTTTTGGGTTTGTTTTTTTGTTTGTCTTCCTCGTTATCACTCAGAAAACCGAACAACCTAGTGGCTGTTCGTCGGTTCTAAGACAAAAGCTTATTCAATATCAGTTAATTTGGTGTACCAAACTATCATTAAGCAAAGAAGAATTAAATATCTACCCATAGGCAGAGTGTGAACCAACTGCAGGGTAAGGCTAAAAGTAGCCTATGTTAGTTTAATGTAGGCTATAAACTACACACGTCATAAACCCACCTGTTTAGACAAGTAGGCTATCTCCTATGATGTCAGGAAATATTTTAATACGACTGAATTTGTATTTAAAGTGATCACAACTCAAAAACATTCTAAGTTACAAATTATAATGCTTTAATTTACATAGTAATTCAAACGAGTAAATAATGGAGAAAGAGAGCAAAGAACATTCACATTAAAAAATATTATCACTGACTTCAGTCAAGTCAGAGTTTAAGCACTCAAAATTCTTGTTATAATCAATGAAGCTGTCCATACACTGTATGATAAATGAATCTGTTACTTACATAATTCATTCATCTGCACTTTGTTGCTTATGATGAGAATATTTGGGGGTCCCTTAATACTTATGGGAGGTCCGGGACCCCCCCAGCCCCCCCTCAATTCGAACACTGATTTCATTGCATCTAAATGTCTCACAACACCAGGATGCTTTTAATGTTATATATAATATAAAACAATACGATATAAAATACGAGTGTTTTACACTGTAACACTATTAGAGTCTAAGAGATTTAGACCAATCTACTGTGAAATACTCTGATTATTCAGATACTTAGTTTCTCAGATATAAAATGTTTTTGTATTGTATAATACATACAAACCATGCTCGTGTTTATGACTACAAAATCATGTTTGTTTGTTAGTTTTTTTTTAGTTATGAGTGGACAATATTAGTGATTGCTTTTTTCTTGGTGACCAGATACCTTGAAGACTTCACTTCAAACTGTTTTTCTCTGAAAGTTCTGTACCAACATCAGAAGCTTTACAGGTACATTGGGCTGATATTCTACATGAACATGGTAAAATATGACTTTTGATGATGGGGCTGTTTTTTTCTTGAATCCATGGAAAGCAGCAGCAAACAGATTGGAAATATGGGTAAGGTTTACTTGTTTCAAAAGTTGAACAGGATCTGTTTCCAGGAATGGCACAAAGGTGTGTTACTATTCACGTCTCTGTGTTTAGATCAGTGTGCTCAATAATGTTTCTTTGACCTTTATTTTGATTTTACTGTGTTGTAAATAAAATACAAATAATCAAAACCCCCATTATTTTAGTCTCCTCACATTCTTTCTTACCTGCCTTACAGTCACAGTCACACTGATGGGCCATTAGGGGAGGGCCCTTTGTCTCCGGTGTGAATCACTAAATATTCATGGTCATTGTCACTCCCTCGCATATGGCCTTTCTAACACAAAGAGAGTTTCAATAGATGCTTTGCAGGAGAGGGATTTTGTATACACCCTCTCCTATATAATCGAGTGTTTTATGATTTTGCGAGGCCGAGAAACGGGTGAAGAATACACGCTGTTACTTTCTTGATTTTTGCTTATGAGTTACTGATTTTAATAAAGCGAAGCCATTTGTATATGGTGATTCGATAAACTTTCTTTTAATCAAGACTCCGAGTAATTTATTAAGGGTAACACATTATCTGGATGTAGTTCATAAATCTCCAATACGGGCCTCATAGTGGTAAGAACTCTGCTGAGCTGATCAGGACGTTTTGCTGTGGATCCTGAACCTCACAATATACTTCCCATCAATAAGAGGTAAGGGCTGTATTTGTTCATGACAGCTACAGATGGGGGAAAAGTGTATATATAAGGTTTATTGGTTCATTAAGAGCGAAATAAAACCCCCATTATTTTAGTCTCCTCACATTCTTTCTTACCTGCCTTACAGTCACAGTCACACTGATGGGCCATTAGGGGAGGGCCCTTTGTCTCCGGTGTGAATCACTAAATATTCATGGTCATTGTCACTCCCTCGCATATGGCCTTTCTAACACAAAATCTGAAGCCTTAGTCTCTCTCAATACGGAGAAGGCATTCGATCGTGTTGAGTGGGACTATTTCTTCTTTACATAAAAAAAAAATTGGTTTGGTGATAAATTTGTGTCCTGGGTAAAACTCTTATATTCTTCTCCCTTGGCGTGCGTGAAAACAAATGGTATTCATTCTAATAATTTCCCTCTTCACCGTGGCACTAGACAGGGTTGCCCGCAGTCCCCTCCTTTTGTTTGATATGGTCATAGAACCTCTTGCAAGCTTCACTTATGAAGGACAAATTATTCAATTTCCCGGTCAAACTCCACATATTAGAAGATTAAACCAAAAAAGCAAACTAGAGATTCCTATTAATGATCTGCTTCTAGACTCCATGCAGAGGAGGCATCATCGGAACGCAAAAAAGAAAGCAGAAATGGAGAAGAAGGGAAGCAGAAGTGACCAGACAGGAGACCGTGGACATGCTCTTGATGGCTAAGGAACTGCTTCGGATAATTCGACAACATGAACGTATAAATAAACGGTTGATGAAAAGGGTTAAACAATTTATTGAAGTTAATGAGTTTAATTTGAAGATGGAAACTTTGCGAGGTGAGGTTGACTGTTTGAGAATTCAAAGAGCCAACGCCGCTTCCAAAAGTATAAACGGTTTAACTGATATCCTGTCAAAAAGCGAGAGCAGGTGTCACTATCTGGGTTAACAGTTAACAAATGGAAAATGTTAAGGTGTGAAAACTTGCTCGTATATTTTTGCAAAGGTGTTGCTGCATTGTAGTAGTGTAGATGCATAATTGTGGGTAGCACAAAAAGGTCAGACATCCTGTGTTAACGTATAGGAGATGAACTTTGTTTGAACTTCTATGCATATATTTTTTTAGAGATGTACGCATGTGTGTATGCTGTGCTTAGTGTAATGATGTAATGGAATTGCAACCCGCCAAAACAAAGGGTATGACCAAGTGTTTTGAGTGACTTGCATTTATCCAATAGAGAGTTTCAATAGATGCTTTGCAGGAGAGGGATTTTGTATACGCCCTCTTCTATATAATCGAGTGCTTTATGATTTTGCGGGGCCGAGAAACGGGTGAAGAATACACGCTGTTACTTTCTTGATTTTTGCTTATGAGTTATTGATTTTAATAAAGCGAAGCCATTTGTATATGGTGATTCGATAAACTTTCTTTTAATCAAGACTCCGAGTAATTTATTAAGGGTAACACATTATCTGGATGTAGTTCATAAATCTCCAATACGGGCTTCATAGTGGTAAGAACTCTGCTGAGCTGATCAGGACGTTTTGCTGTGGATCCTGAACTTCACATTATACTTCCCATCAATAAGAGGTAAGGGCTGTATTTGTTCATGACAGCTACAGATGGGGGAAAAGTGTATATATAAGGTTTATTGGTTCATTAAGAGCGAAATTACGCAACACTTAGTGCAGGAAAATAACTGAAAATTTCTCTCTATGCAGTCTACGCTATATTCAGATCCAGAAACCCATCTTTCCAATGTCTTGAATGTTCTAAGACAGTTCAGTTGTGTCTCAGGTTATAAATTAAACCTGCATAAGAGTGAGTTTTTCCCAATTAACTCTGCTGCGAGATCTCTTCCAATGTCAATATTACCATTTATTACACGGCTCTGTGGAATACTTGATTCTGATTGGTCAGTCACGACATTCCGAGGTACGTTATCCCTCGATAACAACCGGTAAAAGCTGATAACACAGGCTCATCCGGTTAACTGAAGTCGGCATTGTACGCTTGCTAGGAACAGTTTTTCTTGGTGGAAGCTTTGCGTTTGGTTAGCTAATAAACTACTGGTAAGATATTAAAACAGTTTTGTCTTAAATCAATATCTTTTATCGTCATAATCATTTATGTGGTGAAATGTTGTGTAATAAGTGGTATGACAGCACCATATCCCTTAAATGTCCATCTAGTTTGAACTTGCCGTCTTCACGGAAGCTTTGTGTTCAAATATTTCAACTCAAATCAATATTTTGTCTAATTATTTACTTATGTGGCAAGTAGTCATGTAATAAGCGGAATAATGTACATCCAGCCAGTTGTTATCGCAGAATAACCCCCGACAGGTTGATCTGGACCCGACGCGAAGTGTTTTCCGATTGTTTTATTTTAGATATTGAACTATGCCCTGTAATAGCATTATTTGAACTCAACCCCACATAAGTTTCCTTGTCACTCTCACAGTCAAATGCGCTTGCCTTCTGCTTGATAATTGCTAAAAGGCTTATATTACTGAACTGGAAAAATCCTTCCCCACCCAGCTTCTTTCATTGGATGCACAACCTGATGCAGCTTATTTAAATAGAAAAGATCAGATTTAAAATACGTGGTAATACAGAAAAATTTCAAACTACTTGGCAAACCTTCTTGTCAAAAAAAATAAAAAATAAAAATTAAAGGAAGAGGTAAGAAAATAAGAAAAACCCTTTCTCTATACCTGGCCTTTACAGTTTCATTCCCTTGCCCTTGATTTACTAATTAATGGAGAGCACAGAGAAAAAATATATATTATTGGAAGTGTTTAATATATAAAGTGTTTATGTACCTAGGTGCAAGTACTTTCCCCCCTTTCTTTTTTCTCCCCATCCTCAGAATTGTTCTAACTACTGCATTTTATGTATATATTCATATTTACTCATTTATTCATATTGCTTTTTATTTTTATTTTCTTTATTATTATTTTTTAATTTGTTTGTTTTAAGCATTGTTCTTGGTGTTAGCATTCATAATTATATTTTGTGTTTGACTCAAGAGAGTAAGGAAGTTTTTGACTAATTTAATTTTGATCTTTGTTAATAGATTGAAACAATTGCTGTTCTATTGTCTTTTTCCTTTTTGTATCTCTCTGATTGAATAGCATCAATAAAAAGTTAAACTAAAATTTTCTGTTGATGTAACCAAAGCATGGGTAAAGGGGGGGAAAAAAGTATTAACCAATAATCAATTTGAACCAATATCTTATAAGCCCAGCAATCTAATTGAATCCAGATATATAAAACCAAGACCCGGCCCACATTTACACTAGGGGTGGAATGGTTCGCGGGAAAAAATCGAACCGTACGGTTCTCCACACACGGTTCGGCACGCACTAGGACCGCGGTTCAACTTAAGTCTGACAACGCATCTGTAATATGGTTTCTTATAAATAACACGTAAAAAAAAAACAGGGTTCGGCTAATATATGTTTCTGTTGATGGATGCGCATTCTGGCTTCCCAGTACATTACAACAACAGCGATGAAAAAGAAAAAAAAACGTGGACAAACCATTCACTCGTTCAATGCGAATGCTGGAATATGATCAGTCATTTATTCCGTCATGATCACCCGGGTGCTCACACAGGTGAGACCTGAACAGCACACGTTGATATCTGTGTTTAAATTAAACGAATTTAAGCTTTGCCAGTTTAAACCTTTAAGAGCCAGAAGACGCGAGCTCAACCGCGCAGTGAGAAGATTTGTGTGCGCGCTCATCCTAAGCGCGCAAAGCCGTGTCTCAGAACGCACGCAAATATTAAGCTCACTCTGAAGTATTGTGTTTGAATTAGGGCTGTGCGATATGGACAAAAAAAAACCTATCGCGATTTCTTTGATCCATTTTGCGATTTCGATTTTAATCACGATTTTGACACAGACATGCTTTACAGTCATTAATGCATTCAGTGTGAATTTGAAACATATTTCCAAAAGAAAACCAATTAGAGCGTTATCAAAAAGCTGTAACATGTCTCTAGAACAGACATAAGGCAACAAAATCACTAAGTAAAGGTGTAACAAAATGTCTCTAGACCCGTGTCCAGGGATTTTTTTTTTGCCATGCATTGGTCATAGGTATAATTCGATAGCGAAAAGTGCTACCTATCAGATTTTGCTCCAGCATGATATTAATAACGTGTGAGGCTTTATTAACATGTACACCTACCCCAACCCTAAACCTACCCTTACAGTAGGCACTTTCTTAATATTAATCGAACAGCAACAACAAAGAAATCACTTACTGCTCTTGATTGAATAGCTTTTGTAACTTTAATAAAGATTCATCTTTAATTTATACAGTCAAATATGCAATGCTGTTTTACATTTGATTACTTTATTCAATTTCTGTACCTAAAAACTAATGCCAGACCTACCTAAAAAAAACTGAAAATCAGTTTATTTTATTTGTATCTTTACTCTATTGTATTTATTTGTGCGGTTGCTTGTAGTTAGATAGATTATTCTTATTTTCTTTATTTTTATTTGACATTATAGTTTTTCCCTAAACATAGCACATACCGAACCGAAACCGTGACTCTAAAACCGCGATACAAACTGAACCGTGAAAAAGTTGAACCGTTCCACCCCTAATTTACACAGTGAATATTCTAGTTTTTTTATTTAAATTTTTAATTTTTTTATATAATATATAGTTTTTATTCATATTTTGGTGTACCTAGTGTTACAGTGTAAACACTCATATCACTTTTATATCGTATTGTTTTATATTTTACAGAACATTAAAAAAAACAACCTGGAGTCGTGAGACATTTAGATGCAATGAAATGAAACATTTCAAAATGTTTCACTTGATTTCATACATTTAGTCAGGAATTAGGCTATAGTTTGGGAAAAGTCTAACTAGTAAAGTGTGTACAAGTTACGTCACAATAACACAATAACAACTAATGCAAGTAATAAAACATGACTTACTCCTCAGAAATGATCTCCTCTGCTGCTCAAGCCATGTGATGCATCGTGTTCTTCTTCTGAGGTAAATTCTGGCTTATTCCTCACAGCGCGTCTCTTGCAGAAACGAAAAGTATCCGAGATGAACTTGATGAATCTTCAGGCTTTGTTTACGGAGGTGATGTGGGATTTTACATGTTCGTGTCTCATGTGGATGATTACCGTATGAATTGCGCACGCTACACTTGGGCGTGATCACATTACAGATAATGAGCTCAGACGTGAAAGACTGGACCTTGCACTGGTTTCATACGAATTACTTTATCAGAGAATATTTGTTTTCAAGATGACTTACTTCATTTAAAAGTAGACACTTCAAGCTTTCTATAGATATACACTTAGGCATGGGACGATAACCGGTTCCAAGGTATACCGCGGTTCGGAAAAGTCACTGTTTCAAAACCACAAAAATTTTCCGTTATACCGTTCCTGCGGTATGCGCAGTTTTTTTACTGCCATTGTTTACATCTGTTCAAAATCACGCATTAAAAAAAAAACTTTGCCACTGTTTGAGTGTTGTACGCAAAGACCGCGCGCGCGCATGTGTGTGTGTGACACTCGCGCTCTCTCTTTCCTTATGTGTGTATGTGCACACATCCTCGTACCTCACCGCTCCAAACCATATCCGGGAAAGGTGAACATTCCTGCATCATAACTTGGACTGAAAGATGAATGTGTAGAAAGCGAGCATGTCTCCAAAAACCTTGTTGAGCTGCAGGTTAATGCATGCATTTTGTATAAAAATTTTTATTTTATTTTTTACAGAAATTATGTTTTGATTATATTTTTGATTATTGAGCTGCAGGTTTAGGCTCACTTAAGTGACTGCATTTTTGTCCATTTATAGCAGTGGTCGCCAACCCGTCGATCGCGATCGACTGGTAGATCTTTATCACTGTCTCAGTAGATCCCGAAAATAACAGTAAAATAAGTACAAAAATGCATTACATTTATGGGGTTATATTAATGTATCACTGAAGGGAACTGTCTTGAGAAAAGTTTCGATGGCAATGGCATTTTCTTCTCCTCCGTATAAAACTGTGCTTTGTTTACAGCGGTAACCAAGGAAATGCTATTGCGGTCGGTTCATAAACAGTGTTGCCAGGTCCGCGGAATTGGGCTAACGTTACTTTAACACTGTTGCCGCGAGTTGTTGTTCATGTCCGTGGGTTGAAGCGACCCCAATAACGTGATATTTAGCCCCTGGAATGCGAATTTTACTGGAAGATCCCCGCCGGAAAACGTGTATTTTACCCCCAGAATTGATTTTTACAGGGGAACCCCCTCGAAACGCGATTGGACTAGTTTTATTGCGAAAACCTGGCAACCCTGTTCATAAACGCCACCTCCTGTCAGAGAGTGCGTCTCATTCAGACCTGCTGTTTTTGTTTCGTGCAGATGTTTTATGTTGTTATCATACCGTCAGAATCTCATACCGGCCCATGCCTATATACACTACCGGTCAAAAGTTTGGGATCAGAACGATTAATGTTTTTTACGTTTTTTACAGGAGTTTCTTATGCTCATCAAGGCTGCATTTACTTGATCAAAAATACAGGAAAAAATGTAATATTGTGAAATATTATTATGATGTAAAATAAAACTTTCCTATTTTAATATACATTAAAATCTAATTTATTCCTGTGATGCAAAGCTGAATTTTCAGCATCATTACTCCAGT